ATACATATGTAAAAATAATAACAAAAATAAAAATAAAAAAATAAAATTTGGTGCCCCTTCTAATTTTGGGCCCTAGATCTCAACCCTGCTTGCACTGGGCCAGGATTGGCCCTAATAACGCATTAAAGAAAGTAGGTATTTCTCAAATAGAAGATATTGAATTAATGCATTCATAATAATATACGAAAATGTAATAAACATAATAAAAGTGCTGAAAATAAAATAAAATAAAAGAATAAGCCATGGGGAGATAACTCAACCAATATTTTCTTGCTAATTCCAAAAATGTGGGAGGTGAAACTCAACCATTAATAATGGAATCAAATGATTTTCATTAGCAAGAATAAGTATGAAATCTCGAAGTGTGTTAGATCCATCGAATATAAAATTAATCATGGAAGAAATGTCAATTTGTCTCAATCATTTGTCATCTACCTTTAATCAAGACTTGGGAACAAAATAAAACCAAATATTTTGTTGTACGGCTGAGCCATGCTCAATGCGTATGCCTAGAGGCATCCACAAAAAAAAAAGTTTTTGTTGTCTACGCAATTAAAATCGAGGAATATCAGGCCCTCAATTATTTAGAATGAATAAAGTCTAGGTTCTAATTTATAAACAATTTGTCATTAGGATGTACAATTTCATTCATAGAAAAGGGACAAAATAATTCTCGATTGGTGTCGGGAAAGAGAAAGCTCAAAGTGTGGAATATCCACCAAGTCTGACATATTGATATAACCATTTAGTTAGGGCCACAATGAGCTCCCGATTGCATGGATATGAACTTTATACTCCTAAAATTTTCTTGCTTTTATTTACTTATTTATTTTTCTTTTTTACTTCAAAATTTTCTTTATTAGCAATTTATAATTTTTTTATTACCGATAAGATAATCTATACTAAACTCATCTAAACAATGAGGAGGGAGATTCGAACATAAGATCTGTTTGTAAGAACAAATGCCAACTAAGTTGCTGCAAGCTACTTAGCCGTTATTTTAATATTTGCATACACATTTTTGTTCGCCTGCAAGAAAGCAGTGAACATTTTTTTTCTCGATCTGATAGTTTTGATCAGATTCTAGCCTTGCTTTATGGTTGGTCGGGATCTAGACTTATGTAAACAGCATCCTCATCTACCTTGGATTTTAGAATACTGTCATTCAGGGGGTTAAGGTCCATGTCAAATCTTTTCTAGCTTGTTTCTTGGCCCTTGGACTATGGGTGCTATGCGGACTCGTCCAATGGAGATGCAGAGCTCCACTCTCCTTTTTGGATCATATTCAAACTTTCTACAGCGTAGCAATGGCTGCAACTTGATCTCTCTTGATTTCCTTTATCCCGTGAACTGCGGGCTATTGGAGAACATTAGGATGTTGGAGTCGATTGGAAAGGGTTTGCTGAAGGAAGCCACAATCTTTGGCTTTTTCGCATGCCACATTTCTCTCTTTTATGGTAGTACCCAAATGTTCTTGTTGACGCTAATGATTTGTTTTTTCATCAAATCTCGGTCTTGAGATGATTTTCGACCACTCTTGGGCTTCTTGAGAGATCTTTTGGGAGTCAGACGATGGCACTTTGTGTGGGGGTTCAGAAAAGAAATTTTTACTAGGTCTAAACGGCGGTTGCCATAACCAATGTCTCCTAAAAGCCAAAGACGGTGTCCTCTAGGGCTTTCACACGTCTTTCGAGGTTGATGAGTTTTGACTGTTCTTTCGTTCGAGAGGCTGTCACGCTCCGATCTGCGAATAAAGACTATTCATGAGCTAAGGTTATTTTCCACCATATCTTGGTTGTATAATTTATTTCTATAGCTAAGATATGACTCATACCCTAACTCGTGAATAGTCTTTATTCGCAGGTCGAGGCGTGACAGAGGCCCTCGAAGCCTTTTGAAGTTCGTTAGCATGGCGTGGTACAATGATTTGGCTGGGGGAAATGTGTTCACTCTCAATGAAAGAACCAGTTTTTAGAACCAAATTCGCACACCACCGCATGTGGAGGAGATGCACAAATTCGATTACTTGGAAAAGAGCAAACACAAGTAAGATAACCTTGACGTCGGTGGGGTATTGGGCAAAGGCTCTCCGATAGTCAAGATAGTATGCAATATATGAAATTCAAGTAGTGGGTAAGAGAATAGAGTATGCGATAATTGCGTTGCCCGAAATGAACCCTACAAATCAAGTCTTGGTTCTTTCGTCAATTAATCAAGTCCATAATCAAGGCCAAATCCATTCGTAGGAAAGGCTTTGAAAGCCTATAAGTATGAGGCTCCAAGACAAAGAAAGAAGGTCAAAAAATCATTCTCACACCTAGACACTGAAGCTCTCAACCCCAAACTCCCAAATTTCCAAACATTCAGAAGATTCAGAAAACTCTCTACATTCTTCATCATTCTTTTGAAGAACCACCAAGCACCCATACACATGCCGGTTCCTCTATCACCACAAGTCAAAACCTTGAGACGTTCAGTCATTTGGGATCAAGTCATTGTGACCCACGGATCAACAACACACAAATTTTTCACCTTGGATATTGAATCAGCGGATTCAAGTTTGTAAAGATATTGTAACCCTACATTTACATTAATACAAAACATTTATTTTGTACATGTGTTCTTGTGTTATTTATCGAAGGAAATTCATGTTTACAATTAGAATCTCCAAAATGTAGGAAACTTTATCATATCAGGTTTATGTATCTTGCAGATCAACAATGGACAATCTCAATAAAATTGGCGAATTTTGCCTACCTTTCTAGAATAGAGGACAATGGTGGCATCCCTAGTACATTTGTGCACCTCAATCTTGTGCACCTCAATCTGATCAAAGCTATACGTGTTGTGACCCATCTTACTTTGACCCTAAAAAATCGTGTCCCACAAATTTCATATTCGAACTGTTAAAATGAATTGATTTTTTTCTACATTATTCTCCAACTTCCTTCTCTTTCATTTGTTTCTCCCAAACACGTGCTTATATAATGTGTGGGATTGCTAGTATATTGATGTGTTATCTATCATTTTAGTTATACGGTGCGTGAGAAAATAAGCTAGATGGGTGGAATAACAACACTAAATTGAAGCAAAACTTTATGCTAATGTAAGCATATTATTTATCCAAATCCTTTTATCCTAGTGTAGATATATCATTCTATTAAAAATGTATAATAAATTTAAATGATGATTTACTGGTTTTAATAAAGGGGTGTGCTATTCCCACTCCCATTTTTACTTCTCACACATCCCTTCTAAATTTATGTCTTTTGATCATCTTCAATTCATCCGATCCGACGACCGAAAATTAAAAAAGTGTGTGAGAAGTAAAAAATGGTGTATAGACATCACACCCCTTAATAAAACAGTTCATCCAATGCATACGCATGAGTTGTGGCAGTCGACGTTTGAGAACCTTTTTTTTTTAATTTTAATTATTAAGGGGAGGAGAATGGTTTGAATCTATTACAATAATTTAAGGAATGGGGGACTTTGGAACTCAAGTTGCATGGGTGAAAGTCCAACACCCTGTTCACTAGGATATTGAATCCCATAAAGGAGAAGAAAGAACTGTTAGAGGCATTGGTCGTTGATGAAAAGGACTATACCATTCTTGCCTACCCACGGGTTTGACGTTGTTAATCTTTTCACTTGTGCCTTTGACACAAGGGCCGATAAAATGTTGGATAAGTTGTTTAGTCTGACTAATGTAAGTTCATCTGTGAAAATAGATTCATAGAGCTAATATTTACAAAAGAAATAGGACACTTGCGTACGCAGTTTGACTGAAGCACGTTCTTGCAGAAGGTATATCTTTTGTGAGGAGAGAATGACAAGATTTTCACCATGGAAACAGCCAGCGACCTCAGAAAGTATGCATAATTAATTACTTTCTGGATTGGGTTGAGTACATGGTTTCTTCAGATTGGTAACTGGTTGAACTTTAATACAAAATAATGAATGGCTCAAATCATTGGTTTTATAATAGCCAAAAAATTATTTTAGAGTTGATAATTAACATTAGCTGTGATGATTAAATGCAGGCAATTAGGAACTGGCACAACGGTACTGTCTATAAAGAAGCCATGTTATTTGTTCAACTGGAGCGACCCCCTCTTTCCAACAGGCAGCTCAAGAAATTTCTCGCTTCTTTGTTAGAAATTTCACATTAAGAATACATGCTAGTCCCTTGCTTATTTACACATTAATGGCGCCCTTAATGCATGTGTAAGAAATAAGAGATGGTTGGAAACATTTAATTTGATTGTCAGGAATTGTTAAAAATTCATACTGCGCACTTTTCTCGGTTATTCTTCTCATCTTCTCTCAAACTTTTTCCTTTCTTTTCTTTTAGAATTTAATTAGAGTTTGTTTATGTTATTTTTGGACTAAGTGGTTACAATAATTTAATATCGAACTCGTGAGTGTCGTGCATGAACCATGAGGATGCAGGTGAAGGAGATACTTGCGTTTACTTCTAGTTTGAGAAAATAAGATTTCCTCACCAGGAGGATGCATACAACAACACTGACATCAATTAAGCTGGAGAGAGAGAGAGTTGAACATAAAATTAAAGAGGCATATATCCTCTATCCTCGATATATGTAGTAAAACCTTTTCATGAAAAGGTTGAACTGACTTGGACTTTACTGCAGCTTAAGATACTTGAGAAGCCTGTAAAAAAATGAAGCAATGTTTGGTTTTCAAAAGAACTATGTAGATGTTAACAGAAACTAAAATCTCTGACGAATATATAAGAACTTTCGAAGTAGTAGTCTCTTAAAAATTGCCCAAACGCATGAGCCATTTCCGAGCACCAGCCGTGTATGTAGACAACTGAATGCGATCAAAAGTGGTGTGGTCATGTGCTACAAAGCATGTAGTCACTTTACTAATTTAGCATTACTTCTAAGTAGGTGTCTTGTAATACTTAAATTGTAAACAAGAATTGCATGTACGATAATTAATTAAAGTTATATAGAGGATCACGATATACCTTTCTTCTTCATCAACATTGATGCTGCTGGTGCTGCTTCCAATGGAGGACTTGTAGTTGGGAATAGGAACCTGTCCGGACTCAATTTGCCTGAGATCTTCTAGAAGAATGTCCTAGTGTTTCTTCACTTCTTCCGCTGTTTTATTGCCACCTACAGCTTTAGCCACATTTTGCCACCGCTCCGGGGTCTCTTTGTCGTACAAGGCCAGTGCTTTTTCAAACAGCTTGTTCTGCTTTGGTGTCCATGAAGAGCTGGGGTTGTGTTTTCTAAGGGAGCTTGAAGCCATTAATTAATCGTTACCTTGAATATTAGACCTAATTCTAAGTAATGATTATAGTGAATGTTTCAAAGGCTCTGTAAATACATTCAGATGTTAAAAGGAGAAGGAAAAGTACGTATATATGTAGCTTAAGATAATTGGATAGGGTAAGCAAGAAGGATGGTATGTGTGCAAGAAATGGCTGGGGTGCTTTGCCTATAAATAGTAGTGGAGGATAGTGGAGTGAACCCTCAAGCCAGTTGGCGAATCTATAAAGCCAAAAGGAGAAGTCAGGCATGATTCGTCTCCTTTAGCAGCCACAAATGAAGAATCTCAAGACACAATATATATATATATATATATACACACACACACATGTATATGTGTGTGAGTTAGGATTGGGAACACTCATTTCGACACATTTTATAAGGCTTATTCTGTAACTTTTTATAATGATCCAACCGTTTATGTTTTTGGTCCATCCCTCAAAGGCCATGTCTACTAAAACTCACCCAAATCCAAAACTATGTGACCATCAGATTGAATAATAACCATTTTATTAACTACAAATGTACATCTTAATGGTTTTGAATTTATCAAATTTTTACAAGATGATTTAAAATGTAGATGTTTTAGATCATTAAAAAAAAATCGTTGTAATACTCTATAGTGCATTTCCTAATCTATCATTTCCAACATTTTGTGATCCTTTTCTTTTCTTTAATTTGCATGCAACTTTTACCTTACACTTGAGCAACTTCCAAAATTTCAAAAGCTCAAAACCACGCAAATCGTTAAGCGGAATTAGAACCAAGCAATTGTAAAATTCAAATGTTAAGTTCGATATTTTTGCAACGAATAACAGAAGAACATGCATGCAAAATAAAATTTGAATTAATGAATTTGTTAGGGCACAATATTTGTGGTTTATTCTTGGGTAAAGTACAAAAAACTACCTCAATTATTGGCCTCAAGACACTTTCATACCTCATCTTTTTAAAATGACAATGTCATACCTCATTTTACGAATTTGTGTCAATGTCATACCTCTCGTCAGTTTTTCTGTTAGTTTCTCTGTTAAGTGCTGACGTGGCTTAAATAAATTAATAAAATATTTAAAAACTAATTAAATATTATAATTAAATATAAATAAATAAATAAATTTAAAATGGCCTAGAGTGCGGGCCTTTTCCTCCACCCACACCAACCTTCTTCTTCTCTTCGATAGCCACCAAACCTAGAAACCTTCCTCCACCCGTCCCCTAAATCTTCCCCAACCCACCTCCATCCCCCACATCTTCCATTCCCCTACCTCTTCCCGTCCATTTCGAACCCAAACCCTAACCCTAATTCCCCATTTTCAAACAAAAGGCCTCGACCCCATCGCTCTGATTCTTTCACAGAACCCTAACCCAGATCAGCATCCAGTCCTCCTGAGGTTCGCCACCAAAAGCTACTGCATGGATAGAGGACCTAGATACAGAGCCTACACGGAACTCAGGGAATCATGGCTTAGGAGGAAGTACATGAGCCTAGAAGAGTCCAAAGAACCTGAATCGAAACTGACCCTATTGAAGAAACAAGTCAAATTTCAGACCCATCTGATCGATTCGCGAAAAGGGTCTTCCGTTCTCGCTCAATCGATGCCTGATTTCTCAACCGTGCTGCTGAAAAAGAACCACAAGCCGTCGTCGAGGCTTCCGTCGATGCAGGAGATAACTCCGCCAGCGAAGAGTTGGGTGAAAGAGGCGGATGGGGTTTTGTCGAATTCAAGGGGGAGCAAATCGGCGATCGTAGGATAGAAGAGGTACAACCCACCCTCTCTCTCTCCTCTCTCCCTCTCTCACCTTTCTCCTCTCTCGTCGAACACCTGCATCCCTAAAACCCAGAAACCCTTCCCACCCTTCCCACCCGTCTCCCCCACAACCTTCCTCCACCATCCTCTCTCTTTCATCTCTCTCTCCTTAATGGCCCGAAAATTGATGAAACGTCAACACTTTTTCTCCTCAATGCCATGAACTCCCTATCATCCCTCATGAAGCTATTGTGCGTCCTACCGTCGGTAATTCCAAAGCTTGGATTTTTTACCACCAAAAACCCGTCGTCGTCCTCGTCGAGCTCGAGATAAAGCACCTGCTCGCTACCCGCCACATCAGAATCCGGCGATGTTCATGCCTGAGCAGTACACACTCATCTAGGAGCAGAATCCGACGATGTATGACTCATTTATCGACGACTCGGCATTCTCGAACGCGTCGAAGATTTTTCGATCGTCGCGGTTCAAAATGAGCAGGGTGCAGGAAGAGCTGTAGATAGCCCAGATAGAGAGAGAAGAGAGATAGAGCAAGAGAGAGAGAAAAGAAAGAGAGGAGAGAGAAGGTGGTGGAGGAAGGTTGGGGGGACGGGTGGGCAAGGTTGGGGTTTTCTGTTTGAAAATGGGGAATTAGGGTTAGGGTTTGGGTTCGAAAAGGACGGGAAGAGTTAAGGGAAGGGAAGAGGTGAGGGATGGGGGTGGGTTGGGGAAGGTTGGGGGGACGGGGAAGAGTTTGGGGGGACGAGGAAGAGTTTGGGGGTTGTCGAAGAGAAGAATAAGGTTGGTGCGGGTGGAAGAAATGGGAGGCCCGCACCTCTAGGGGAAGGGAAGAGGTGGGGGATGGAGGTAGGTTGGGGAAAGTTTGGGGGATGGGTGGAGGAAGGTTTCTGGGTTTAGTGGTTGTCAAAGAGAAAAAGAAGGTTGGTGCGGATGGAGGAAAGGGGAGGCCCGCACCCTAGGCCATTTTAAATTTTTTTGTTTTTTTTATTCTCAATTTTTTTAATTTTATAATATTATATTTAATTATAATATTTAATAATTAATAATTAATTAATTTTTTAATATTTTATTAATTTATTTAAACCACGTAAGCACTTAACAGAAACACTGACGGAGGTATGACATTGACACAAATTCGTAAGATGAGGTATGACATTGTCATTTTAAAAAGATGAGGTATGAAAGTGTAGTAAGACCAATAGTTGAGGTAGTTTTTTGTACTTTACCCTTTATTCTTTATAAGAATATTTCTCTGATTTAATTCAAGGGTGATGATTGATCTTGAATTAGGCTTGTGGGCTTATCTTTAAGTTTCATAAAGGCTTTGTTTGTACCATACTTAGGGCCTCCATATTTAGATCTCGTATAAATACTCGGAGGACTTAAATGTAATTATGTAATAAAGGAAGGGGCAAATATGTAATAATTGAGGAGCCCTTATTCTATAAAAGGACCCCTCACTCTCCTTATTAAGGGAGGCCATTTGCTTAAGCCCCCTCATCCTCTCAAAGCTCTCACTCTCATATTCAGAGCTCTATCTCCCTCAGAAATACAATAATCAGTGTGGACGTAGCCAAAACATTGGGGTGAACCACGATACATCTTGTGTTATTTACATTTCTTGCAGATTCACGGTCGGATTTACGTTGTTCCAAGACCTCCGGTTTTGTGCATCAACATTTGGCACCGTCTGTGATAATCGAAACAAAAAACTATGTCGGTTCTCTTTCATTTTTTCACCTCCACCGCAAAATCTGCAAAATCTACAAAATCAACATTGCAAAATCTAAAGAACCTCAGAACCTCCTTGGGCTTTTCCAGAAAATCCCCACAAACACAAAATCAGCGGACTCATTTCTCATTCTCCCTCTCTCTCTAGAACTCTTTCTCTCTCTTCCCCTTCAGATCTCTAAACCTCATGGCCATGTCTTCGCCTCCACCGACGACATCGTATTGGTGTTACAGATGCACTCACTTCGTTCGCGTGTTTGCTCTGGACTCCGCCCTCTTGTGCCCCCACTACGAAACCGGCTTCCTCGAAGAGATCGAGACGATGCCATAGCCGATACTGCAGCTGAACCATCTCCACTGTAGATTCCCATCCTCCCACCAGGTACGACGGGCCTCCAACCACCGGTCTTCTCTATTCAACCTGGTCATCGTCTTACATGGCACCGAGGCCGATACCGAGTCCAACATATTCGAACTCTACTATAATAACGCCATGGGGTCGGGGCTCCGACCACTTCCGCCCGCCATGTCCAAGCTTTTAATAGGTTCGGGCTTTGACCACTTATTTGAACAGCTCTCCTAGATTGAAATCAACGGTTTGGGCCGACTTGAAAACCCGTCTGCGTCTAAATCCGCTGTGGAATCTATGCCCGTTATTCAAATCGTCGATACGCATGTCAGGTCAGATTTGTACTGCACCGTTTGCAAATAAGCATTCGAACTTGGGTCGGAGGCTCGAGAAATGCCGTGTAAGCACATATACCACTCGGATTGTATCCTCCCCTAGCTCTCAATGCGTAACTCGTGCCCGGTTTGTCGACATGAGTTGCCCGCTAACCAAAACAACGATAATTCAGATCCGGGTCTCGAGGAAGAGACGATGGGTTTGACTATCTGGAGATTACCCAGCGATGGATTTGCAGTGGGGAGATTCTCCGGCGACATAAGACCCGGCGAGAGGGAATTACCGGTTGTGTACATAGAAATGGACTGCGGGTTCAATGGTAACGGGGCTCCAAGAAGGGTATTATGGGTATCGAGGAGTCAAGGGAGCGAAAGTCGCGGGATTTGGAGTGCTTTTCATAATATAGCTTCGCTCTGGGGGAGATTACGTTCCAATTCATCGTCTTTGAGGTCCGGGTAGGAATCTGATATTGTATTTTAACGGCAGCGAAGATTGTGATTCGTGGGTCAAGAACGACGTCGATTTCGAGCGCATGTTTTTGGTCGGAGACAGCGCAGGAGCACATGAGGGACAACGCAAAAGAAAAAGAAAAAGCAAAAGGAGAAAGCCATGTGAAATCATTTTCTGAGAAAGAGAAAAGAGAAAGTAAAAGCAAAAACAAAAGCAAAAGAAGATATAAAAAAAAAAACAGACATAATTGCGGTGGTGATGGCATTATGGGCGTGACCCATTGAGCATATGGTCGGATTTATTTTTGAATGTGCAAAAGAAGATATAAAAAAACAGACATAATTACGGTGGTTATGGCATTATGGGCGTGACCCATTGAGCATATGGTCGGATTTATTTTTGAATGATGTAATTTATTTTTCTTATCTTTCGGAGACATCTGTATAAACCCCATCAGAGGGTAATAATAATAGGGCAAGCCCAAAATAATGGGTTGGAATGTTTATGCCCAAAAAAAGCCAGGCCCTCTATTATCATCAACCAGGTGATCAAAAGTACGTCCAGTACTACAAAAAATTATTCGGCAGCCTGCCGCTATTACCACCA